TCAAACTCAGATCTGCTGCGCGTGACACAAAGCGCCTAACCACCACAAGAGACACGTGAAATTTTAGGTGCAAAGAAGTAGAGTAGACATGGGGATGACGTACATTGGTACAGTCATCATTCTCACAAGGATTCAGACAAACCCTGCTACGCTATGTCACATGGTGGATTTCAAATCCACCATGTGACATAGCTTAGCAGTTCTCTTCTTTTTTTCGGGGGAGGGGGGAGGGTGTAGTTTTTTTGAGGCATTGTGTTAACTCGGTAATACGTCAGGATCATGAAGTTTGCCGTTACAATTGGTAGTCAAAGAGAGGTAACTCGTATTTAAAAAGAACACCCTATCACGACCGTATGAGTTAATTCCCTTTTCCTTCACATTACGAACAGTCTTTCTCTACTAGAATTTAAGTGAATACCGAGCCATGGGCACTGTTTTATTCTGACAAGAAAAAAAAAATAAAAAGCAAAATTCATCAAAACAACAAAGAGTCACTTGTTCATCCTCACATGATCTGTTTCTATTTTCATCTCATTTTCTCAAAAATGAAAAGGGGACATTTTAAGTCCAGGCGTGTCACTTAAAATCAGGGGCAAAATATATACATAATCAAATAATCCTTGCATCCCTTCCATAAATTGGGTACATTGCCACTGTCAAAATCACCCATATATAGGCTTTGTAAATTTACACACTGACGTTCATGAAATCATGAATGAGCTGTGTGACAGTACTCATCGCTGCTCAAAACAAACCACTTTTGGGCCAAACATAGGCAGGTAGCCGAATTTGGAATTAAATTGACAATAGTATTGCCATCTCTGCTTTTTGACCTTCCGTTTGTTTATTTGAATTTTTAGCTTTAAAATTTGCTGTTAAGAAATCTTGAGATCATTCTGCCTACCCCAATTTTAAGAGTTGCAATTGCATTTTGCCCAAAATAGGAATGTTGAATTATATTTTTTTAAAATTATTTTGGTGGGTGCATATATGAATTTGGGATTTACTTTCATTACAACTAGGATATACCATCTCCAATAAGAAGTCTTGCCAACAATTACGTGTGAAAGCTTTTCGATCATGTGCCCATCTCTGCCTCTGGTTCTGGGTCGCACTTTTATTAACCTGTCAAACAAGTGATCATCCTTCGTTCCTGCTTAAAGTCATTAAATCTTAGTTGGTTTGATTTTGACTGAGCCAGACACGACAACATATTATAAATAACAAAGGGGCTAAACCCTTCTTTTTTTTCTCCACTACCCTTTACAAATGTCAGTGAGAGCAGTGCATAGGCCTCCCCACTGTGCTAATATGTTGGACATTTCCCAATTCTATTATTCTTGCACAAGCTGATGTCTAAATAATAGTATACTGATGCATTCTAGTTAAGAAAACATTTTTTTTTTGCTGTTCGCCAACAAACACATGAATGACAAGGTGATCACCAGAACTAGAACTTGAACTCAACTCGCACAAACCTCCTATGGCCTCTAAATTTAATTTCACAAGTGAATGACAACGGAAATTGAAGAAGAATTAAATCACCAACAAAAGCCAAAGTATCATTTTATAAAACCAAGCCAAGTCATGTGAAATCATACAAATCCTCATACAGTTTTTGCTCACACACTGAGAAGAAGAAAGCATTACCACAAATTATGTACCTGTCTAATACTTTCTCCTACCTGGTCAGCAATTTATCTACCAATTCAAGAGTACAATAGGGCAGTAGCCCTTTACACCAATGAACAAATGTGAGGCATCGTGGAGAGATCAGGCGCTCGTCAAAGTAATGAAATCCGAGAAATCAGCATTTTTCGGTCAGTTTGGACATTTTTTCTTAAATTTTTGTTCTTTGGTTCAACACCTTGTGTGTCTATTCAAAAACACTTTTACGTGTGGATTTTATGGAAAAAGTAAATTTGCAGTTTCGAAGGATTCTAAAGCAACGGGAGTCACCAAACTTTTGCAGTCATTTTCTCGCTAATTTTACTTCTAAAACCAGGCAACCCTTCCTCTTTCAATTGCAAATATCTCGACTTCTATTCATGAAAAATCGAATTTTTTTCATCGAAAGCAAGACAAATGAATAACCCTTCAACTGATACCAATGACTCTACATGCCCAAAAACTAACAAGCCCCTGATTCTACTTGGTCGTGACACAAATGTTGAAGACCACAACATTTTTTAACATGACTTAAGGTCAAGGCTTCCCAATTGTAACACAAATTTTCCCCACAGACCCTTTAACAGTCTTTTATTTGCAAAAATAGAAGTGTTTACTTGAGGGGGCCACAGAGTAAAACAAAGTTTGTTTTTTAGTAGACTTTGTTAGAGAATGGAAACTTGCACGAAATAACTAACCTGCACGTAGAATGGAGGGGAATCAAACAGCTTATGCAGGGCCTGCAGCAAGTCCTCATTCTCTGAGTTGTTGTGAGCAAAAGTGTGTAACTCATTCGGGTTCAGGCCCTAAAAAGAAACACAGATAAAAAGGCACAGAGTTGCACAGCATACAGATCATGGACAACATTTAGTTCATTTTACACAACTCTATGCAAGCAATTCTATGCTTCAAAATTCTCCTCACTCTCGGTGTAAAGCTTCTATCGCCGCAAGCAAGTTGTTTGTTGACTGCTGCAAATTATTTTTTTTAAAAGAAAAAAGATGAAAAAGACATTATTTCGTCAAAATAATATTTGGAACAATCCGTCCAGTAAACCTGTAAAGGATCTGAAACACCAAATTCAAAGCACACAAAAAATTTGCAAAACTTATCCCTGGAAAGGGCCTTGAAAGAATTAAAATCCTATTACCAGTCTGACAAAACTTACTATCACTTACAAACCGTACCACGCAATCACCTAAAGGAGCCAAAAATACACCAAAAGATCTGCTGACAGAAGTCAAATCAGTTCTTTTATGTCATGCACAGCAAGCAGACTAAGCAATCTCTGACATCAGTCTCAGCCAAAGTACACAACATTTAAAAAAGTGAAACTTGAAGCATTGTTTCCTAATCCACCCTTTCTGTACCGTAACTTTGAGAAAACTACCAAGACTTTAGAATTGTAGGAATCAGTCAGCCTGCACAGTAACAGCCATTCTTCCTCAGTAACAAAAGTGGGCAACACAGGTTTTAACACAGGACAGAAGTAGAAGAAGCAGACCTAACCAGAGCTTCCAACAACACCCTGCTGCCCACACAGAATATACTATTATATGGTGTTATAAATCTTTTATTCCAAAAATCGACTTAATTCCCACTGGTAACAAAAAGCTTCGATGTCATATTCTCAAACACAAAAAAATATTCCTTTCAGCTTCAAAGATAACGGCTCAGCTCATGTAAAAAAGGAAATAACTAGTTAGTTTCTTCGGCTAACCAAAGACCTAGTACTGAGAAAGTACTCATGGTAAAGAACAGTTTTTAGATAATCACGATATAAAAACTTTTCAATTTGAAGTATAAAGATACTACCACCAGACAGTATTGAAGCGAGAGCGTACATAAGGGCCTACAGAGATGAGATGGAAACATACGAACAGGCAGGCACAGGAAAAAATGGATAGAGGGAGTCAGAGAAACATTAGAACACAACCATGCAACAGGTAATACAACAAACAAGAGAAACACGTTTGCTTAGATTCTCCTCTTGAGACTGCAAGGTAAAAGAGGCAGGAAAAAGTAAAAAGTAAAGTAATTATAGACAAAGATAACGGTCAACAACGGAGGTTAAGTCAGGAGACCAGGCGACAAACTTCAGTGACAACAGCTGCAGAAAAAATTGCCTCAGACAGAGAACAACAAAAAAGTCCAGTACAATCCTCAGGTTGGTGCATCATCTGACCCCTTCAGGCTATAGGTGAGAGAGACAAAGCGTGAAAATGGAAAAAAACTTTGAGCTGCTCCTTTCTGTTATCTAAACCTTGTATCACAGCATAATACCAATGCTTGTAACACATATTGAGATTTCTGTTTCACCTACAATTCTCAAGATCCTTTACCTCAATCTGCTCCATGGATTATGTTCAATACATTTGGACAAAATTCCACACCAGCAAAAGTAATACAGTAACACTTCATGTTTCTAGCTAAAAAGGACAGAGTTATTTTGAAAACTAGCCCAAGAAAAAGCCTGGAAGTCTGCAGGAGAAGCAAACAGTTGTCACCACTCACCTTATATTCTGTGAGCCATTCTTTTACTTCTTTCAATAACATATTGCTAGTGTCTTGCTGGTGCAGACAAACACATTGTTGGGATGGTCGAAGATGTTGAAAGTTTTCAAGGGCAAGACAACCTGGTAAAAGAAAAATTACAAAGAAAATTATTAATCAAATCTTAACGAATATATACATTTTGCTAAGACGGAATTTATTTTAAAATGATTTCTCAGGACCAGAATAAAAGACAGTTTAATTTTCTAAAATGCCTTGAAATTATAGGTATTATAACACTTTTATACCATACCCCCCAGGGCGGTGCCACTGACTGTAGTGTCTTTAGGCCATTCCCAAAGGGGGGACATTTCTCGTTCAAGCACAGTAGAATTGTAAATGGGCTGATTCATCATGTCACGCTCATAACTGTGCCTGATCTGCAACAGGGAACTGCTGCTTTTTCTTTCCTAATCCTTACTATTGTCGTTTTCTTCTAATTCTTTCGTATGTTTGTCACACTATTGTGACTCGCTATTTCCGGGGTGCCTTGATAGTCGAAACAGACCTTGTAGTTGTGCTGTTGAAGCAAAAGAGGTGAGCAGAATAAGTCTGATTCCCTGTAAGGACTTCTCTGTTGACACCAACCCCTTTGTGCTCATATGACCTTACGCAGTTGCGAGCACCGTAAAACCCTCTACTAAAAAAAAAAAAAAACTTTTATACCACACTTGGAGTTGTGTTAGCATTCCACTTTCGGTAAAATAAATCCTTATATTTCATACGTTTAATATAAGCTGATATTTCACATTGGAAATATAAAAACTTGTAAAATTAATCTGAGCACTATATCACCATCTAACCTTCTGTAAGCAGAGTGTAGACTCGAATAAAAGTATTCCAAGACCTTGTTACAGCAGAGCTGCTCATTCCCTTCTAAATTATCTCTACATTGTAAAACGCACTCACCATAGGCGCCTAAATGAAGTGCCAATTTACCCCAGTTTCCAACTGTCCCTATGTGGAGAGTAGGCACCATTCCCCATGTCGCCCTTGATTTTTTACAAATTGAGTCAAATGGTGCGCACCATAGTGAACCGGGATTAGGTCAGGGAGTGGCGATGTATTTTAGTGCAATGAACAAGTCTTGCTAGCAAACGACTCCTTGTCTTTGGTTTGTTTTGGTAGCAAGGTTTAAAATCAAAGTCATCTCTATTCTCATGACATGTCAATATATATACATGCAGTTTCTTAATTTTTCAACTTTTGAATTGTACGTTTTCTGCTCGCTTTGCCTATAAAGAGGCTTACGTTATTATTGTTTTATTTGGGGTTATTTCGCAGATGTACAGATAGCACTACTTATAAAGGAAAACAATCCAGATTTTTTCAATCCTCACTCTGACTCTTATGGCCTTGAAAATTTTGTTTTCATGTGAGACTCTAGAATGGACCCTCTAGTCCAATTGGCTGGAAATTTGAACTTTGTTGGTCCGGATCTATTTTGCCAGCTGATATCAACTTTGTATAATAAATACAATGATTAAAATGTCATTGTGTAAACACTCTTTATGTAGGTGGACCATGATTTATCCTGGTTGTGAAATTGCCAGAGTAGTAATCACGCCCTGAAATTCGTGATCACAACTTGGCAAAATAGGAGAAAGTGAAGATGCAAGAAGAAACAGAATAAGACTTTAAAAAACCAGAAAAGGCTCAGGGAGAAAGGAGAAAATTTTAGAGACATCTTTTCATCGTTGCCTGATTTCAAACTCAGGACCTGTAAGAAGAGAACACTGTCCCTCTAGACCACGAGAGCCTTCTTATAATATCCACAATTTATCACCCCTTAACATCAGAAAAAGAACAAAGTAACCAGAAATTCAAAGCAGATTCATAACATTAGCTAAGACATCATGATGTCGTTTACCAAGAAACAAAGCATAGGGTATTCTTGCTCAGCATGGATCTCAACTTTCCCATGACATTTAAAGTACAGAGGAAGTAGACAGACATCAACTACAGCCAAAACGATCTATTAAAAATTACTTTTTTGCCTTGTAGTGCTGGCAGGCTCTTACTCTCAGTAAAGGAGACAGAGTTCTAGCCATTTCAGTTAAGACGTGAAAACAATTTTATAAAGTCAGTGCCAATCTCTGGAATAAGGTGGTTTCCCATATTTTTCAAGGAAAAAGTGTTTTACTCAGACCTGCCACTCTATAAAATCTAAAAATCAGGATCTCAGGGGGAAAAAAATGAGGATTTGGTGAAAAAAATCGAGATCAACAATCTAAGGTGACTGCAAAGCTGACTTAAAAAATTTCCAGGAGTGTCCATAAATACATCCATATATCTGTATACATGCCCTTTGTGTGTGGGCGTGCGAGTGAGTGTGCGCGTGCGAGTGCGTGTGCGCATGCATGCCATGCCATGCATGTGTGTGAGAGTATGTTTTATAACATAATTATTTAAATTTTTTAATAAATGCTGATAGATCTAGAAATCTAAATCTATTGTGTTTCTTGTAGTATTTTTAAAAATCAGTCGGACTTTTTGGGTGGTAAGGCCAAAGGGAGGGCTGTTGTTGTGGAATGAAGGGCAATGTGATGGTGATCGATCTTCCAAGGTACAGGACAGGGATGTCATCATAGAGCAGGGACAAAGCTAAGGATCGTGAAAAGAGCATGTAAAGGTACTTATGCTAACATTCACTGATCTTTCACAGGGAGGCTTGACCCGGTTTGATTGGCTTGGACGTAGATCTAGAGGTAAATACAGGGGCTATAGTTATTCGCACAGGGTGTGTGAATACTATGGAATTGTATTCGCACCGGGTGTGCGAATACTATGAAATTTTATTCGCACAGGGTGTGTGAATACTGTGTGAATACTAGAAATGTTATTCGCACAGGATGGGTGAACACTATGAAATTATATTCGCACAGGGTGAGTGAATTATATTACAAAATAGTATTGCCACAGGGCGTTTCAAAAGAAGGATGGAAATTATCTAGATCTAGCATTTCCTCATTTTTTCTTTTTTCATCCTCTTTCGCGTAGGGACAAAGATCATGGGATAGACCAAGAAATCTAGAGATCTAATTATTCTAATTTCTAATTTTGTGCAATACGATACAACCCCCCCCCCCCCCCCCCCCCAACTCAAAGACAAATTGGAATTCAAGTTGTGTATGGTGTCAATGATAGTGACTCAAATCTCTCTTTTTTTCGTTTTGTTTTTTCTGTAAATCCTTGCGCTAGAGAGAGAGAGAGAGAGGAAGAGAGAGAGAGGGAGAGAGAGAGAGAGAGAGAGAGAGAGAGAGAGAGAGAGAGAGAGAGAGAGAGAGAGAGAGAGAGAGGGAGAGGGAGAGGGAGAGAGAGAGAGAGAGAGAGAGAGAGAGAGAGAGAGAGAGAGAGAGAGATGAGTGGAGGCTTACTTTAACCCTAAATCTGAAACAAGTCATACTAGATTTAGATCTAGATCTAATCTAGATATAATCTAGATCTAATGTCCAGTTGTTTTAACATTTAAAGCCTTTACCAAAAGGTGGGATACCCCAGTGTGACAAACGAGGTCCAAAATCAACGTAGGCTCGACCCTGTGCGAAAAAAATTATTTCTTCGACCTTATTTCTTATAAATTCGCACACCCGGTGTGAATAATATTAATTCTTATGCGCACACCCAGTGTGAATAAAATGAAATCTTATGCGCACACCCGGTGCGAAAAATCACTTCCAAATACAGGACAGGGGCCACTTCTTCAGTCACTTAGTGATTTGTATTGGTAGTAAAACTGAACTGAATACGGAACAACTTACAACCTGTTGTTGCAACAAAAGCATTATAAAACGCTACATAAACATTATAGATCTATATCTAGATTTATATGTGCACGTTTCGAACGTGACCTCTTCTTACGTTACACTTACAAGTAACTTTTCCTCAATTTGTGTCCTTGATTTTATAGATCCGAGATGCGTAACACAAGATACACACACACCTCTTCCTCCTAATCGACAGCAGTCGTCGTCCGTTCAAGTTATTGATATTTATTGAAAATAAAACTTATTTACGACATAGACTACTTTTCAATTTTGTTTCAGTAAAAGAACCAAATTATAGAAAATGACCAGATTAGATTTCTATATATAATGTAGATCTAGAAGTACCATTTAGATGATTTCATGTTTTTTCAACTAGCTGTAGGTAGTTGCTCGTCATGCACAACTTGCTGGCTATTTTACGACAACAGTATGTTCCTATTGCCCGTTACTAGATCTACTTGTAGCAACATGGCGCTGCCCGGTAATAACATTGACTTTGCGTGAACTTTCTCAGGTCCTGTGGCAATCAGTCATTCGCCAGTGCCAGTGGGTAAGTTTTCTAGGTAAATCTATATCTAGATTAGATCTAGATAGATCTAGTGTATTTGAGTTACAAAATATTGTATGCATTAGTCTATATGATAAATTTTGTTTATCGCAGGCGAGTCTTTTGCCTATTCTCACCCGGTGTGCGTTCACCGTTCGTTAGTTATTAGATATTATAGATGGCTTCCGATTATAGATCTAGATTTGCGTTCACCCTGAACCACAGAATTCTACACTGTGATGACAGAAAAATTGTAGGTAAGATTGTACTTTACCGGACCACCGGTCGGAACTACTTTCGCTGTGGCGCCCCTGGTGCCTAGTGGCCCGCTGTTCTTCGTTTCCGAGCTCCCCTACTCACTCTCCTACTCAGTTTTCTACGTCCTCACTCTTCAACTGCCAGCAATCGACTGCCGTCTCTTACCGGGTTTTTCAGTCATCACGACCGTGCCACTGTGCCCTTTGACCCATGACCCTGACACCTTGAGGCTAATTGGTCAATCTAATCACGTGGTCCACTATTCTTATTTGCTCGCGACTCTGCTGGCTTGGCCTAGGCCCTAGGCCTACTCCTGGTCCGGCAAAGTACAATGGAGGGCTAGAGATGGGCACGAGAGCTCATTTGCATAATTGCAACCCCATTGGCCCTGCTCACGACTTATCATGCTATTGTTTATATGTGTGTGTGTGAGTGTCTTTAAATTATTGTTGCCAGGGGGGCTAGCCCCCCTGAAACCCCCCCATTGATATGTAAACACGACTGTCCGCTCATGTTATTGTTTCGCATTTTTGTGTGTTTTCTTTATTATAGTTTCCAGGGGGGCAAGCCCCCCTGAACCCCCCCACCCCACTGTTGGTATGATACACGGTGGTCCACCAAAGTTAAATCCCCTGCCCACTCTCAACCACCACCACCTCTCGCTCACCTCGCCTCGCCAGTCGCCGCTGACTTCGCTGTGCGTGCGCGAAGTCGCCCGCGGAACTACCTTTTGTCCGCACGCAGAGTACTATGAGTGCGTAGTTAGGCTAGGCGTGCGTAGTAATCACGGGCCGAGACGGGTGGTCCGGTAAAGTACAATCCAACCAAATTGTAGAATGGAAGTGGCTTCTATTCTCATCTGGGGTGAGAATAGAAAAACGATCTACCTCTCACCCCGGGTGAGACTTGCCAGCGTAGGCTATTCTCACCCGGTGCGAAACAAGACCTGCTTTTTTCCTCATTTTGGAATACTGTCTATCGGTGAGGATGATCAAATTGATAAAAGCCAAGAAAAAATTACGTTATAGCACAAAAAAGTAAGCTAATTTGATCGTCTTCAAAGATGTTATGGCTATTTCACTGTTCGAATCGAGCCGAACTACGCGGGTCGCCATTTTGTTTTGCCCGGAAGTTCTCGCAAGATCTACTCCTCCCCTCTCTCTCTCTCTCTCTGTCTCTTTCTGAATACTGTCTATCGGTGTGGACGATCAAATTGAACAAAACAAAGTTAAAAAATGATGTTAAAACACAAAAGTAAATTAATTTGGTTGTCTACAAAGATGCTACAGCTATTTAACTTTTCGAATCGAGCTGAACTACGCGGGTCGCTATTTTGTTTTGACCGGAAGTTCTCGCACTACTCCTCTCTCTCTCTCTCTCTCTCTTTCTCTCTCTCTCTCCACTGCCCACAGACAAAATTGTACGCTTTTAGTAGGCTACAGTTGTAATGGACCGTTTGTTCACGGCACAGAATTCTACAATTTTTCTGTTATATTAATCACAGTGTAGAATTTTGTGTTTAGGGTGAATGCAAAATTTGTTGGCCTAGATCTAGGCTATAACGGTGAACGCGCACCGGGTGAGAATAGCCAAAAGACTCGCCTGCACTATTCTCACCCCGGGTGAGAATAGAGGTGCCGTGAACAAACGTTCCCCATTACTACTGTTGTGGCGTTGTGGAGAGAGAGAGAGAGGAGTGGCGGACTGTAGCGCGAGAACTTCTGGGCAAAACAAAATGGCGACCAGCGCAGTTCCGCTCGATTCGAAAAGTTAAGTAGCCGTAGCATCTTTGTAGACGACCAAATTAATTTACTTTTGTGTTTTAACATCATTTTTTAACTTTGTTTTGGTCAATTTGATCGTTCACACAGATAGACAGTAGTATTCAGAAAGAGACAGAGAGAGAGTTCTAGAAGAGGGGAAGAGTAGATCTTGCAAGAACTTCTGAGCAAAATAAAATGGCGACCCGCGTAGTTCGGCTCGATTCGAAAAGGGAAATAGCCATAGCATCTTTGTATTGTAGACGATCAAATTAACTTAGTTTTGTGTTATAAAGTAATTTTTTCTTTGCCTTTATCCGTTTGATCATCCACACCGATAGAAAGTATTCCTCAGAAATTAGGAAAAACAGGTCTTGTTTCACACCGGGTGAGAATAGCCAACGATGGCAAGTCTCACCCGGGGTGAGAGTCGATCGTATTTTTATTCTCACCCCGGGTGAGAATAGCCAGAATTATGCTGATTTAGATATTATGCTGATTTTATGAATATAAATTGTGTTTCAATCTGGGCCCAGCTTCAAAATCTACACGACGGTATCTGACTCTCTGCTTTCGACGAATTGGTCGAATCTCCGTCTGACTCCAACTTACCTTCACTAGGCTATATAGATCTAGATAGAATCTAGATTCTAGATCGCAGCAAGTAGGGGTCAAAGACTCACTATATGCATCTCAACAAGTAGATCTAGATCAAGGGCAATTTTGTTTACTTTCTCGCGTTAAATTCCGGTCGAGCCTAGATTCTGAGAACAAAGTAAATTTTTACATCATGTAACCCCTCTCCTGTTCAGAAATATCTAGATCTATTTTTAAGGGCTTGACTGACATACTTGCTGCTGAACACGAAAAACAAAATGCGTCACAAATCAATATACTATACTTCCAAGATATTTGGAGCTTAAAATTACGTAACAAAAATGCATTGACTTCAAGCCCCCCCTGAATCCCCCCCAGATTTTTCAAAAACTTACCGTTAATGGCCTGGTCCGTCTTACGGCGATGAATCCACCCTATCACTTTCACTGACACTGCAAGTGACACAATCACGTTCGCGACTGGTGGCAGATACAGCCGAGCGGATTGCTTAGGAAAATGTGGAGTGCTTCCGGCTTGGGGACCGAACTTACGAATAAATAGCGGGCTAGGTACTGGTACAAGTATTTAGATCTGGTACCTGGTCTTTGAACCCACTCTTTAATATCTCGCCACTTCCGCTCTATATTCTGTGTGACTGGAGTCTTCAAAGTCCATGAAGCTCTTTGAGTGGTTTATCATATATGATAGGTATAGCCCAATTCCGCAAGGCCATTGTAGGCTTTCCACGAGTCGCTGTAAGTCACAGAACCAGGCAGAATATAAAGCTGAATGAGAGGCCATAGAGCGTGTCCTTGTTGCATCTCTCCCCTTCACCAGTTAGAGCCACAACAAATCTCCACCCTACCCAACAACCAGATTTGGTTCAAAACCCAGCCTCTCTCGTATTTTCTGCATATATACGATCAAGGTCTCGTCTATCCCAACCTGGACACCTGGTCCACCAATCACTTCCTGCTTACTAAAACACGCATCTGTGACCTCAGAACAAAAAGAGCACCAATCGACAGATGTTTTCGTTGATAAACCTAAGCACTCTACAATTGTGCTGTGGTCCCAGTGCCGAGTTAGGAAATGATTGATAAATAGGACGACTTTCCACTGCGATATTGAGCACCCTGCTAAAAAAGTTCCCTAGTAGTCTGACACAGAGAAATCACATTACCTCCATTTCTTAATTTTTGGAATCAGATAAGAAGGGGGCTCTCATGGCCTTGGGATTAAGGTGTTCGCCTCTCATTCAAAGGTCCTGGGTTCAAATCTGGGTAGCGACGGAAAAATTTTCTTGTTCTCTAAAAATTGTCTCCTTTCGCCTTCTTTCCTTCTCTCTTGCAATAATATTCTGTCGTCTGCTTTCGTCTCCGCTTTCTCCCCCCACCCCTTCACCTCCTTTGCCACCTCCACTGGGCTCCTGACTCTTTCTGCAGCCTTTCTACTGCTACTCCTTGGCTCTTTACTACTGTCTTTCAGCCACACCCCTGATCTTCTTGTAGGAAAGATCTACACCTAGCCTTCTCAGACAAGGGCGAAAAATCTCCGAGGTCCCGAGTGCAAGTTGCGCTCGTTAAAAATCCCTTTACTTGATGGTCCAAAATTGATAAGAGTTGGCTTTGGCCACCACCAGGGCAAAATTCTAAATTTCACCATTTGAAAATGATTGGTGTGTCCCGCGCGCTTATTTGACCTTATGCAGTTGCGAGAGCTGTAAAACACAAACCACAAAAAAAAAAAGATAACTTGGAACGGTACCGCCACAGATTAGCAATTTCCCTGAAAGTTCACTGTCCCCCACACTTTTCACAAACTACACTTTTCGGAAGAACACCGTGATCACGGAGAAAAGCTATACTTTCATCGTCCTTCTCTTGGAACTTACGGATTGTGGTGAAATAGTCCAGTGAACAAGATGAACAACTACTGTCACTGTCACTGGAATCCATGAACGAAACACTACAGAATTCACCACACGTCGACCTTTTTCACTCACCAATACAAGGACACAAATGAACACTTCCCGTGTGAAATAATGCTTGTATGGTCACAGGGTTACACATGATGACCATCACAAGACTTAATAGATCATGGGATCTCTCTTCGGTATGAAAATTGCATAAACAAAATTAAGCGAACAGAACATTCCAGGATTTAGGCTATAAAATTTTTAATTCGCAGAACACAATCTGCGCATGCGCTGAAAAAAATCAATTTCTTAGCGTGGTAGTGAGTCTCTGCGCACTCATGGAACCCTCTGGGGGCTCATAAAATTGTATTTTTATTCTCCCCTTGGGTGAGAATAGCCACTTTCTTAAAAAAACAGAAACAATTGAACATCTCCTTTGCTTCCTTCCACGTAATTAATCACAATCAACCAAAGTCCAGAGTCACACCTCCCATGCATGTAACAACGTTTTGAGGGACTTTTTTTCTCAACTGGTAGTATGATCAGAGCAGCAGGCACTGGCCGTATTAATTTCACACATCTCTGGCCTCTGGCTACCCAGGAAAGTTTCAGGTTGGAGCACTGCTCGAGCACTTTCACAGATCCTGGTGAGATTTCACACACGCACCACCTTGACCATCTGCACCTCACATGGATGGGGTAATATCTTCCTACTCCCCCTTCCCTACCTGACAGCATGGCTTAAAGGTTTAGAGCTGATTAAATTTTCTAATCAGGGCTGAGCAGGCAAAGCATTTTCCATCTTAAACCGGGGAAAACCATTCAAAGGGAAGGAATTCATCTTTCTTTTTCTGTGTTGAGTAAGTTGCATATATTTTTATCTTTTTTGTTACACCTGACAGTCTCAGTCGCCTAAGTTACTTAACTCCTGATCACAAGAGGGACTGCAGGAAATGTTATTGTCATGTACCAAACCATTTTAACACTTTCATTGCTCAAAAGTCATTTAAAATGACCATGGTAATGATGAACTGAATGATTGTCCTTGTCAAGTCTAACTCAATTAACTGATTGTTTTACTTTCTTATTAAGTTGCTAAGTGCTTCGACTATGGTCATGTAATGTAAAATGATATAGAGAGTATAGAGTTGAGCTAGGCTGCAGTCTAGCATGCACGTGTAGCGAAATTGGCAGGGCGCGGGAATCTTTTCATAATGTACGGTTCACTATGTTGGAATTTCTGGCAATATCACTATCACGGGAGGTAGACAAAGTTTGTTCAAAACTTTACTTGAATTATGTCCCTTTTGTCTTGTTGAGTACATTGTCTGTCAGGTTTGGTTTTTTTAATTTATCTTTACCTGGATCTACAACGTCTACATGGATCAGATCAGATATTTTTCCTCAACCATGAGGTCCTTGACCTGACTTTGCAACATCCCCACAAGTTGTTTCTTAGTTCTGATTTGGCTGAAGGTCAAAATGTTTTGTTTTTCATAACATTTTTTTCAGGTTCTGACAAAAAGAAATCTGATAACTACAAAGGCCTTGTTTAGCATTGTTCATTCTTATGATATTGTGATCTATCTGTAAAACTCCTCTGACTGCAGAAGATTATTATAATGCAGTGGAAACATGGAGAGAGTATGATATCATTTCAGAATCATTTTGAAAATTGATGAGTAGGTCTTTATGATCTTTGGGTTAATGGAAGATATTTACTTTTGAAACTAAACAGTTTTTAGTGCTGGTGAAACTGATTGAAACGCAGGAACTTGAAGCTCCTTAGGAAAAAGTTTGGTTGTGCTTTCAAAACTGGATAACAGGGTATAGAGAGATCTTTAATTGCGGATGGACTGATGTCTTTCAAATTTCAATTTTAAGATTAAATCTAATTTCAGCTGCTCATGTAAGACTCTGCCATACACCATTATGAAAAGTGACGCTTGTTGAATCCAAGTCTTACTCTGAGCAGTGGATTTAAGAGTGCTACACTGTCTGTCTCTCATCACATTTTTGTTATTTACAGAAGCTACAGATTTGACAGAGGAGGAAAAGTCCTGCACTGCCTCTCAGCATGTCTGCAAGTGCGCAGAATCGACTGCTCCTGCAACAGCTCATGCTCACCACTTCCGCTGGTCATTCACTGCGTCATTGCCGGAGTTTTTCCACAACTCTTCAGCGATACAGGAAGCCCAACATCCAGAGGCCTCGGGTACCTGGTACAGAGCGGAGAATTTTAGATGCTGTCACAGTCCCGGTGTTCCCACCTGATCTCCGTCCTTTACCAGAACAATGCTATGATAACTGGAAGCAAAAACAAGAATCGCGGAGGTCTGAGGTATGGATGAATGCTGAACTTTTGTATTTGTTTTTAATTTTTAATCTGCAGTCTTTTGGGTTTTTCTTATTTGGGGTCTTAATAACTTGCAGATTGTGCGTTTATCATTGTCTGCTCCAGCAGTTTTGTTTGTGAAATCTTCCCTTATTCTCAGGTTTAGTATTATTTTTTCACATAGTGAAACAGGTAATAAAAGGCAGTTTCTTAATAGAATCTCAGAAGCAGGATGGAAGTTAGATATCGTCGGTCGCCTGATAAAACCGTGAATTCCACAAATTTTCGAAAATCGTTTTTTTGCATATTTTGATAGTGCTCGGTGAGATACATGTCCCTGAAAAACTATTTTTTAATTACCTCAACTCAAACGTGTAATCTGACGTAATAAGAAAATCGTGAATAAACACCGTGCCCCAAAATTCGCCTGATGAAACTGTGAATCCCACACCTGTGTGGAATTCACGATCTCATCTGTCGGTTTATGACTCGTGGGGCTGACCGTTGGCGCCGTGAACGCCTCTTTAGACCATTGAAATATGGGCGACTGTGTTGAGCAAACACAATGGTCGGTCAGTATTCACGGTTTCCAGGCCAGGGATTATAATTTATGGTGTCGACTGAATCCGTTTTGCAGGAAAACCTCTCTGTCACATGATTAAAATGTTTGTTTCATAGATGCAGGACTGGTATTGTTTCACAACGACTGTCACATTCGAATGTGTAATGTGAGTGCCCTTTTGGTAGTAGGCTATACAATTTTGATCTTGCTCGTTTGCAAAAATAAATAATAAAAAATTGACGTAGTTACTTATAAATTACAAGTATATATACGTGTTGTATCACAATCCAAACTTGTTTGACATTGAAAGCCTACTGATTTGACATCAGAGTTCCCTAACGAGAATAGGAATTTTGCAAAGCCGAGCAATGTGAACCACTTTGGACATCAAAGAAAGCTTCAGGAAATCCATCACGGAAATAATAGAAGAATCAGGTCTCCATTTAAAAAAACCAGTCATTCAAAGTACACGATGCGCTGGTGCTTATCAAAGATGCTTTTTTGACGAGAGAGAGAGAGAGAGAGAGAGAGAGAGAGAGAGAGAGAGAGTCCAGCAATAAGCAATACAAATCAAGAGATAAGGCTATTTTCAAAAACAACTAATGAATTGAAACCCAGATGTGATTGCTCAACCAAATGACTACTCACTTTTAAAAGACAAAGCCAGAACAACTATCTTTGTCCTTGTTTGGACTTTGACAATGGGAGACAGAAAGACCTATGTGAACGGTTTTCTCATCACGAAAGATTACAATTTAAGCAAAGGTGATACATCAAGCTGAAAGACGCACACTTGGGTTTATTATCTGAAACAGAGTGACCAAAAGATCAAAGTTTGCAGGATGTTGATATCTATGACCGGGCTCATTTCCTCTAGAAGAGCCCAGGCCAGTTTCATCATCGCCTGGCTCACCCGTACGGACAAACACTTTCCACTATTCCCTACCCTGGGCTAACTTCTTCATTTTATTTTTTAAATGTGTTTCCCCTTTTCTGTTCATCATTCTCTGCGACTTTTCTACAGGTTCCACATGACCTTCCCTTGATAGTTTAACCTATGCACTCCAAGTTAAAACTTTCTTTGTTATGTAGCTGCCTGATTTCCAGATTGTATGCTCAGTCCAATCCATCTCCGTTTCTTTCTTCTGTCTGAAAATTTTTTTGCTTAATACTTCCTATTTAGTGACTCTGTCTGTTCATCTGATCCTGGGGAACTTCCTCAGGCACTTGTTGATGACAACCTGGATCCTCCAGCACTTTGTAAAGAGTGCTTTAGAAGAGCCCAACAAAGCTGCACCACCAAACAATCCACAAGGGTCGTGCAAGCCAAGGAGTTGTTCACATCTGTGGACATGCTCCCGAAGGTTCCCTCCCACTATTGTCAGCAAAGTTCTGGAAAACTGTACCTTGATCCCCGATTTTGTAATCTATTGGAGCTTCATTGGTTTTACCAACCAGCCTGCACAGGTCAGGGACAATCTGCCGTGTATGTCAGACTACTCAAATATGTGCTAGATGAAAAGAACATGTCGATCTATGAAAAAAAAAAAATCAATGTGAATTATGCGTGAGTTTTGAGTCTTGACAACGTCAGCCTGACAAAGTGGGAATCTCATGTCAGAAAAAAAAGGACAAAGAAAGGGCACCCCATGGGTAGAACCTTAGCTCTTGGGCAAGAAGACATTGAGATGATTTGCATGAATCTTCAGGATGTACTTCTGGCACAGTCTATCAATTCCCCCAGCTCTAGTTTCAAACACTTACACATAATCTTCAATGCATCCTCATATGATGTCATCTATTACTTAAGACACAAGGCACAAGGTGGTTTGATTGCAAATGAATTCACAAGTTGTTTGATGGACTTTTTTTCAACGTGCACAAATGCATGGAAGGTTATAACAATATATTACAATACAGCTACAGGTGTGTATGTGTGTGTGTGTGGGGGGGGGGGGGGATGGGGAGTATCAGCTCAAAATTGCATCTGTTTCTAATGCCGTGAGTGCCTTTTCCACTGAAGCAAACACCGAAACAGAAAACAAAATCTTATTAGAGGCCACACTCAAATGCAAGTAGATAGTATGCACGGCGTCATTGAGCGGCGGCTTTAAATAAACCACACAAATATGCAGCGTATTAGATTATGTTGCCATTTTCAAAACTGAAATTTATATAATTATATCAACGAAGTAGGGTCTTCGTTGATATAATTATATAAATTTCAGTTTTGGGATCACATTTTCCTCCATGATTTTGCCAAAATTGCAGTCCTCAAATCTGTCTGGTCGGGTAGACAAAAAGAAGACCAAACTGTTAATGCAGTAGGAAGCATCTGGTATACATAAGGAAAAATCCTTTACAAACTGAACTCTAACGAAGAGTGGAAGAGTCTTCTAAAGTCAAGAGACAAGGAAAACATAACAAGCAGTTCCCCACCACTGTATCGCAAAGAGTAATTTTCAGGATCTAAGAGACCAAAAGAGTAAGATAATGAAAGATGATCATTCAGTCATTCACAGGGTATAGAAGTTTGATACAAATCAAGTTCTCAACCAATCCACCCCCCACCCCCCCTCAGCCCAATTAAAAATGCATACACTTACACACAACTAGAGAGAGAAGAATAGAGAGAACGAGAGCAGGCAAATGAAGGAGTATGATTTCATAAAGTACATACAATATCTTGTTCATGTAAGAATGATAGATATTTATAGTGGTAAAATAATGAAAAGCTTTGTTTCACTCAGTCTGTAATTTCATACTTAGTTTTAAACTGGTCTTTTAAAATCTTTTGTATAACAGTATTCCGTGCTTTCATATAATTTTAAACATACAAGGGCCTCTAATAATAGAAAACACATTGCGTAATAACCGTGAATACAACACCGCGTTTCATAAAGCCTACTGATTCCACACCTGTGTGGAATTCACGACCGCATCAGGGGAGATTCGAATATGAAAACCGTGAATCCCACACTTTTTCGAAAAAATGAACATTTGCGGTAAAAAATGTACTACAGTATTATTTCTAAAAGGTAATTGACTAGATTTATCAATTTAGTCTATGTCTTGAACGCCAAATGAAGGAGGAATTCAGTTTTTTCCGTCTCCTGTAAAATTTGCTTTGTGTGGAATTCACGATTTCATCAGGCGACCGACGATATTTCAATTTGATAGGGATTTGGTTGGCTATTTAGAGTAAAAAACCCTGAAGGCCTGAGGTATTTTATATTTCTTTTGAAGAAATAATTGTTGCCTTAGTCGTTGGTTCCATCACTTTTGAATGAACTGCTGGCTGAGAGGCACTTCTCTGTCTTAAGTTATTGCCTTTGCTCTTTGTGTGTGTGTGTATGGGATTTTTGGAGAGGTCTTTATGGTTATGAAATGGTCTCTCTGATCTGCTGTCTCAATTCTGGTTCTCAATTTCATCATAAATTTACTTGTTCATGGTTGTAGCCTTACTTTATGCTCCTGTCCCATCTTCCCTTCATGATCTTACCAAATTAATAAAAATACACTTACATGTTCTACTTTGCTTATGATTGTTGCACTGCTAACTTCTTGACTTTTCGATAATTTAAGTGCTTTTAGAAAAACTATTTTTAAAATTTTGTTTCTAGATAGTCAATGCTTTTTTTGGTTAGAAATAAGGCATAGTGTTGCTTTGTATTGCTCATTGTTTTGTTGACATTATTTACGGAAATTTACTTTTATGATCTGGTTTCAGATGTTCATTTCTGTACAATTTGTATACCCATGTATCACTATTGTCAGGGTCCACTCGACTGGGTTTTAAAAAAATGAGCGTGAGACATTTTTTTCCTCAAAATGTAATTGTATATATATTATATCCATCCTTCTTTCTGTCCGTGTTTCAGATCATGGATGCTTTCAATGCATTCCGACTGCGGGAAGCCACTGAAGTTTTCTCCAGGCATGAAATGGTCGCTATCTGCCACATTTTACCTTCCACAACGCGTGAGTTCCTGGTACTGAGGGCCAAGGTCGTCACAGCGGGACTGAAGCTTGTCTTTATCAAAAATGACCTAGCACGGTGAGTAAATGGCCATGTTTCTTGTAACACATATGCTACGCGTAGCGTTGATATCCTTGACAGTGTCATAAAAGGTGACTGAGGGGACTGCGCATTTCATTCGCTGCTCAATCACTGATGCGCTGCACATTCACATGAACACCTGTCTGCACTGACAGAAGGTTTTTTGCTTTATGTGCAGGTAGGGTGAACATGTGTTTTTCAAGACATGTGTCAAATCATTATTCTGTTGTAATGAAATTATGTATGTTAACATTTTTTGTGCAAGAGGCTTTTTGTTCTTTTAACTATTGTGCAAATGCACCACCTTACAATGTACGCCTCTCAAAAATTGTATCGAAATATTTGTCTGAACTGTTCCAATCGTTTGGTTTTTATATGTAGTTTTTGTTTACTGTGTACAGGAAGGCTGTCGAAAACACAAAGTGGTGCAACTTGGAGCCGTACTTTACATCCAGCACAGCGTATGTTGTGAGTGAACAGTCAAAAGTGCCTGAATTGATAAAGCTTCTGAAGAAGACCCCGGAACTTCAACTCCTAGGTAAGACTGGCCTGACATACGCTTTTTTAAAGCCTGGCCTCGACTTTATTCTACTTGAGACTCTACAGTTTCACTGCCATTGTTTATCTGGGTTTTTTTTTTTAATAGTTTTTTAAATGTAATTGCGTGCGTTTCTAGCTTTCTGTCTGTTTAATCGTTTTGTTAAGGGAAATGAAAAAGCCGAAAGACTGGCTGGTGAGGCTACCTCAGTTGACAGCACGGTTCAACCAGACTAGGTCGAGATCCTGAAATGTCTCTCTCGCCACCTGATTGAAGAGTAAGATAAGGAGGCAGAAGCCAGTACTGCTGTGGAGAGGATGATAGTTTTGGGAATACAAAAAGGAAGCGGAAAATCTGGCATTCTTTCTGGCAAAACTCCAGAAGAACTTTCAACCAGATATGTACTGGCACAATCAGTAGAAAGACCCTCAGCGACATTTTGGAGAGAGCAACGGAGCCTCAATGGACATGTCAGGAATGCAGGGATGTGATGTTGCTTCCTGGAACAATGAACAATGAACATTATGTCCTCTCTCTTCTTCTCTCTTTCATTCTCTGTCCAGCAGGGCCACAATCATTTGTTTTACGCTGTGTTCTACCAACCATTCCAGTATGTTGTAAATATTAAGGGAGTAAACCAGGGTGAGAGGAAACAATTGATAAAGTATATGCAAAGATGTATTTCAACCTTTTGGTACAGTACCTTTTTTAACCAGATGATAGCTTCTCCTTGTGTATTTGTTTTCTGTATTTATTATAGCGCTGGATGTTTGTTTGTGTTTGGGGAGGATGGGGGTGGGGGGGGGAATTAGAAGTTGATTTTGATTCTTAGGGTGTTCAGACTAATCATGTTTAGTGTTATCTCAAAGATATTGCAAATTGGTGTGGTTTCTGTGGTGCAGGTAGTGTCCTTGATTTCTTCAGCATTGCTGATTATAAGCTAGCCTGCTTCCTGGCTATTTGAGTCCTGGTTATGTTGATTCGCAACATGACAACCAGTCATATTTATTATTGCCAGAAAAAAAAGGATAACCCCAAACTTTTTTGGTCAATCCTTTATGGCACGGTTGAAATGCAACAACGATGAGGTAGATGTTTCATGGTGTGATATCTTCTGTTTTCTTGTGCAAATCTCTAACGAACTGCAGAAGGTGGCCTTCGTTTTTTTCTGACTTTCCTCTTTCAAACTGCAGTCACCTGCATCTGGTTTTGCGATTCGGTGCTTTGCCTTCACATTCAAGAAGCTCGAGCTCAATTCAGTAGTAGGGAAAATTTTGATTAGTGATCTTGGTCTTTCTTCCAGTATGTTGTATCCTCATCAGCCTGACTTGGCCCCGACAGGCATAGGGGAAGCCTGTCTCGTAAATAACCTAAATTGTGTCTACGGGTGTGGAAAAAAACCACCAACATTCAAATTATCCCTTTCAATGCCACAGGTAAATAGGCCCCTGTGCCAGGGGAAACCCCAAGAACCAAGGCGGCTCAGGGGTGACCCCACTCTACCTCCCATAACTTTTTTATTTATGAATATTTCCTTGTGAATTTGTGCATGTACATTCTATATTGTACCGTGTTTCTATTGGTATAATTTTAGGGGGATTTCATTGAGAGGTAGATGGAGAAAATTTGGAGTTAGTAACATAATACCAAAAACAACACCACCAACCAATATAAAACAACACACTTTCGAGTAATGATAAACTGGGGAATGCATGCTATGTGAGTGTTGCTGGTAAAGAGGCTTTTCCTACCTTTTACAATGCTCGTACAATCCATATATATATATACATATATATAAGCCCATCTGTGTTTTTTGCCAATAAATCTTTTTTGTGTATTCGATATGTTGGATGTACATCTAGATCTATTCTTGTCTTTTAGCTAAAATCTGAACCAGACGCTTTCAAATGGGGGTAAAATGGTGGTAAACATAAAGGGAAGGCACCCGGATAATAATTACAAGATTTTAACTCTAACTTCCCTTATAATTGGTATCAAAACAACCTCTGTCACAGTCCCTTAAATTCTGCGGGCCATAGGAACAGAGCTACATGGTTCAGGCCCGTAAATTCTACGGGCGCGGCTGTGAAGAGGTTAAAATGAAAAATTCTAAAAGTTTTTTTTTACAAAACCTCCAGTCCAGCCCATTCCTCACTGCTTAATAGATAAGCAATAATCTGTTCCCTTATCACAGGTGGCCTGGTGGAGGGGCGCATCTTGTCTCGGGAGGTGATGCTCAACGTGGCAAAATTGCCTCCCCTGGACACCCTGAGAGGAGAACTCTGCACCATCCTGTCAGCGTCTGCCTCGAAGACCAGCCGCTTCTTGACGCGACATCAGCAAGATCTCTCCACCAATCTGACGCAGCTCGTGGCTCAAGGAAGTGGGGGAGCCGAGGGGGATGTCGGGAGTGAAGGGATCATGGGGTCGGGGGACACAAAAGAAAGCAGTAGTGAAACAGTGGAGAGTAAGGACAAGGAGACTGTGACGTAGAGATTGTGATATGTTTGTTGTCTTGTCAGTGTGGATGATGTGCACTGTTTTTGTTCTGTAGCTTTGACTTTCTCTGATAGGAATAAATATTTCCTTTTTGGGGATCACAGTAATATGTTGTTCTTGTGTAAGAATGATTTAAGTCAGAGTTTGCAGATTTTTTAAAAGCTGTTGTGTGATAACTGAAGCGTTGGAAGTTTGAATGTCACAGAAAGGGATTTTGAAATACAGTAGTGTATGCGACTTTTGTTTGAAGTTTACTTTCTTTATTTGAAGTCCTTTTCTGGCTAGACTTTTCATTTGTTATATTTACTTTCGAGTAAATTATCATTTTATTCATTTTCAGTTTTAACTTTGGAGGTTGTTTTGTTTGTTGTTGGTTTGTTTGTTGTTTTGTTGTTGTTGTTTTTTTTTGGGGGGGTTAATTATGATAGCATCATATATTTGTGCACTTGCAGTAATCCCTCCTGGTTAATTATGTGAAAAATATTTAGTTGATACTGTCTTCACATGGAAAGAAATCTAGTAAACAAATAGGCCTACATGTAGTAGCTACTGAGTTTCACTGATGGTTCTTTCCTTTTAAAATGAAAATTGTTGGTAGGTCTGTCAGAATGCTACCGTTTCAAAATATTGATAATGAGTGCTTGAGTAAACTGTTGATGTTTGACTGATAAGATGAATGAAATAAAGTAATAAAGTTTGTGCTGATCTAATTCTGTGGTCAATCTCATTCACTTCTACATGTACATGTTACTCATAATTGTACAGTGGAATCCTGTTATAACGAGAAGGAGGGGAGTGTTGCGAAATGTCCGTTAAAGCAGGATTCTGATAATAAGGGATCCGGTAATAATTTCAAGGGAAATAATATAATAGGCCTAATCTATGACTTTGATGTTCTGTTTACTTCTTTTTGTTATCTCCCGTGATGGTGATTTGGTTCAACATGATCTCTAGGTCTTATTTGATCAAATCATGAAATCAGGTTTCTTTCTCTAGCGCTAACGATGTTGACAGCTCGACGTTGGCGATCAGAAAGAAAGTTCTCTAAGACTCTTGGCTAACTCGTCCGCTGTGTTGTCCCCCACCCCACCACACTCTGTGGTGCATTTCGTCTGCTTGCACACGTCACACATTTGCTCCATCCATCACAGCACTGTGACCTCTCCATCCCTGCATCGGAGAAGTGAGAGGCATGGTAGGCCTAGATAATCTAGACTAGGCTGGCCTATCACGCGATGCGTTCTGCTTGTCTGCACATGCAACACCCTCCCCACTCATTGGCTCCGGCCATCATTGTTGGCACACATGGGCTCTCCCGTTCTTTGTTTCGCCAGATTACCAACAAGTTTCACGACTGGCGAGGCTACATAAATGGCCTATGCGCTGTGCGCAGCAGCAGCAATATTCCGCTATAACCGACTCAGGTGTTTGTTTGATTGTGCTTTAGCAGTATTTTATTCACAAAGATAAAGAAGGGGAAAAAACAGGGTTTTTTAACAGACGTCTCGTTATTTCAGGACTCGTTATTAGTGGACTCCACTGTAATTGTTTGTCATTCAGTGTCTTCTTGACTTGTAGCAATAAAAAGGTGCTCAGACATACAAATGGTTATTTACTCCTAATTGAAATCTCTCAAGTCTTTTTTTGCTGCTGATTTTATTTTGCATGCTTTCACTTTTTTTTAAATTCAAGATTTATCAGTAGATCAGTTTGTGTATTTATCCAAAAGCCAAATTACAGTTCCTGATAGAATATAATTATATGCGTTATACAGGTCACCGCAACTGAAAGATCAAGAAAATTATTTGAAAGAAAATACTAATACACCGGAAGACTGAAGCAGCCAAATACATGTAGTACTTGTACTTGCTTTTACACACACAGTCATAATGCAGACCTTGGCAATCTCATCATAGGATGACAAATTCTTGTCATTTCTTCACTCAAACTCTATTCACCTCTTCGAAACAGCGTCACACCAGTGTTTGTGATGTAGCAGTTAGGTGTTTCACTGTTGCACGCATGAGGCTGGAGTTTGATTCCTGCACATGGAGAGGATTTTTTTTTTTCCAATTTAGTATCTCTTGGTCTTTCTGCTGGGATCCCTCTGTCTTGGTTGGCCCTGAAATGCAGGGTTGAAGCCTGCCTCCTAAATCTAAATTGTGTTGAATCAGGGCGTAAAAACAAACGCATATAATTTTTTTCCCACAGTCACAGTTCATTAGTCATGGCTGTAGTGATGGTCGAAAGCAAAACATTGTACCTGATAGCTTTAAGTTTAAGCCACCATAATATGTTTCATGTTAAGCGCATAGAGCATTACATAAGTGGATATGCGCTATATTAATGCAATCCATTATTATTATTATTATTATTAAGCCTGAAGCCCTTGGCTGTAATGCTTAAGACAGGCAGCTAACCCATAGATTATAATTTCTTATGTGTTACACTACCTTCTTCCTCTGCTGTTCTGAAACTCAGCAGTTGTCTCAGAGAGTCTGTGCTGAGAAAATCAAGGGTTTAAAAATAAGCAGGCTGACCATTATTTCATTTTTTGTTTGTTTGTGTTTTGTTCTTGTTTCTTGTTTCTTTTTTTTTTTTGGTAGTTAAAATAGATTTCCCTATCTGTTGTTATTCATGTTGTTGGTATGGTTGTTGTCAGTTGTGGGTTTTTGTTGTATTTTGTTTTTGTTTGGTTTTTTTGTTCAATTTCTTTTTTGTTTTACAAAATTGTCGCAATTCCCGTTTAAGAAAAGTTAAGGGAACATTTAAAAGTAATTTTGTGAGTGTCAGGTGTGTTTTAATAAGCACCTCGTGCAAATACTACTACCGTGCAGCATCGCAGGTTTGGAACAGTGAGCGAGAACGATGCTCAATAAATGCTTCTGTGTGCAGTAGTATTGTTGATGTTTAGTGCAATGACTTGTGGAACAGTGACAGCAATAATGTCCATTAGGGCATACATACTCTGAAATAAACAGAAACAAACAAAAAACGAAATAGATTTATATAAACAATGTTCATTCAGTTTTAATGGTGAGTCTCCTGTTTATTTTCTCGAAAGCAGACACATTTGGAATTCATTGACATAACTTCATAAGAGACAAGGAAATTAGTGGCATGAAGCGCAGAGAAAGATTGTAGGCAAGCTATAAAGTTATTCTATATCACTGTATAGAAAAAAAATACGAGTTTGTCCAGAAATGAATACTTGTACGTGTTTCAGGACTTTCTTTTTGAACTCTGATTTGTGGGTGGTTGGCGGGTGCTCTGGTGTGGTTTGCTTCTTCTTTCCCATTAAACTTCTATCTTCTTTATCTTCCCTCCTTCTTTTTTGTGTTTGTTACTGTCTTATAACACCTCTAATCTTCTGCACTTATAATAAGTTATATGACCTCGCTGTGTTGTAAATGCCGTAGAACTTTTACTAAAACAAAAAAAAAGAACTCTGATTTGGGAGAAAGCTCTGTTTGGGTCGAGGAGGTTGGTGGTACAGTATTGGTGATATCATCATACTTGTGTAATACTATTACTAATAGTGTTACAAATCAAAGAGTATTATGTTACATCAACGGAAAACACAAATATTGCCTGCCTGTCATTAAGAACAACATTGAACCTGATGATTGCTAGTAGAAGTTGATGAGACTGGTTAGACCGCCTTCTCCAAAACAATTTACAAAGTGTTCATTGAAAGTAGGAGACCGACAGGTTGACAAGATCATGGCCGCATGACGTGGGAGATGATGTATTGTGGCGTGACAATGTTTCTGGTAGCCATTTTCCTTAAGTCCTTCGTACCAGACTTAAATAATGATAATATCCCAGATCGGACGCTGTTGCGGTAATCGCTCTTTCCATTCCTTTTTACTTTTTCTTTCCTCTGGTATCCATAGGATGTCGAGAGGAGGTGCAGATTTCGGCCCTGTGCTAGATGTGTAGCGTCTGTGATTGATATGCTATCTTGTTCCAGGACCTTTTCAACCCCATCCAGCTAGGTCTTTCTTGGTCTTCCTCTTGATTTGAAGCCGGATTCACGGGTGTGGTAACCTCTTGCCGCTATTTGTTTCTGGAGCATTGTGGTTAGATGTCCTAACCATTTGACTCTTTGTTGACGCTCTATGAAATTTGTTACTGCTTTTTGCTCAAATAAAGTCAGACTTCGCACCATCGGCACGTATACGAAAGGCAAAACACCAGTCTCGCTATAGAAGAATTCGCCTTGTCCTTCATTTTGGTTCCAAACAGAGTCTAATTGTGCCCTGCACAGCAAGCCGGAAGTATTTTAGAGTGCACAACCTCGGATACTATAATACAAGTCTTTGGTTCTTAGGGAATCGCTCACGCTTCCGCTGCCTTGAGACGCAGGAATTGCCTTAGAGTGATTCTGTACTTTGTATTGTAACGATAGTAGACAAAGATGTTGACAGAAGCGCTGAGGGCTTCAAACACAACTCTGACGCCCGACATGACCACAAGTGTTTTTCTATATAATCCATTCAAGATAAAGTTTCTATCTACGTAACGAAGAATGAGTAACGCAACAATCGGAAGTTTGAAGATAACGAAAATGGTAGCAATCAAAGTGACCTGAGCTATGACTTGCATTTCCCTGACGGCTACAGTAGCGTTCATGGAGCTCTTTTTCCTACCACTTGTGTTTTTTGGGAGTGTTCCCGCCAAACCTGAACCACCAACTGCGTTAGAATCGTGTTTTATATCTGTGTGAGGAGCATTTACGTGACCAGCTTGTTTAGTTTTCATCCAGAAGGTCATGTTCCGCCTAAGGCTGTAGATCATGAAGCTAATACAAGTCGTGACAATGATTTCAGATCCTAAAATAATAACGGGGCCTCTCAATACATCAAAGATTAAAGTAGCAAGCTTGTACGTGTTGCGGAACGTGAGCACTGCACGAGTAGAGTTATCTGCTATTTTTATCCCAATAATTTCTACTTGTGTATAAATGGCCAGATGTGTAAAACATGGTACAGTAAGCAAACACAGAATGACAATCGTTTTACGAGGAGTAAAATATTCCTTGAAACGAAGTGGCAACAGGACACACATAGATCTAGTGATGGCTAACTGGCATGTAAACAACGTGGAGATTATTAGGAAAACCTCCATCACGTCACCCGTTAACATGAGAATGGTTTGTGGGTCTACATCGATGTGAATACCCGTTTTTAGGTCCAGCACAATGAAAACTACATTCACGTTCAACATGAGCAATGCAACAACAGTCCCGAGGTCACTGATGGACAAAGCAAAGCACGAAATGGTTACAGTGTGTGACAAGCGCATCCGCGAAAAGACACAAATGTTCAGAATGTTGGATGCGAGTCCGAATAAGCTGGGTACAGTCGTGAGAATGGCGATGATCATCAGAGCAGTTCCGTACTGGTCCATGTTCAGTAACGGCTCGGGCTCCGGCCGGGGGCTTGTCTGGACAGTGACGTCATCCATCTTGGGTAAGGTCGACCTGGTACCGCAGAGAAAATGAATAACTAATTAAATAGAACGGAAAAAGGGGGGGGGGGGGTAATGTAGGTGATTTTACGCCCACCCGACACAGTTTATACCGTTTGGGAAGCGGGCTTTCGATCCCGCCTATCAGTACCAAATCATTTGGGAGGGATACATATATGTAAAGCATACCATGAGAAAAACTGAGAAACTTGATACAATCACCCAATCAGGAATCTAACTCTAGTCTCCTTCGTGAGAAACCGAGACCGAGAATCTCGATAAAGATTCAACCCAATCGGGAATCGAACTTGGGTCCCCTCCGTGCGATAGCGAAGCGCCTAACTGCTGCACCGCAGACACTGATGAGGTAATCGTTAATTCGTTTTTTTTTCTACGTCAAGGGAGACAGACTATTAATAAAGATACTATTGAAAAGCTGACTCAAGTAACATTTTCATTCAACAAATATATACAGCCACTCATTTTCGAGGAGAAGAGTGGTTGTCTTGGACTTAAACAGGTGGACGTCTTGAATAGTGTTGTATTTTTTATAACAGCCTAGGGGACACGGAAAACGGTCGTTTTTTTATGGGTAATTGTCTTGAACAGGTGGCCGCTAGAGCAGGTTCGACTGTATACGTAGTCAAATCGAACCGGAATGAATATCAATTATTATAGCTTTATTGCCACACAGGGTCCAATAATATCAGATTTATTACATAGAAGAGAATTTATGCCATTAACAAAATGACCCCCTCCCCCCATCTTCTCTCTCTATATAATATATATATATATATATATATATATATATATATATATATATATATATATATATATATATATATATATATAAATATATATATATATAGACAGGGAGAGAGAGAGAGAGCTTCTGAGGCAACCGTACGTGGCCATCTCCAGTACAAAAGATGCACAGATAAGAATTACCGATCTGAACCTCTTTAAGACAGGAGATGCACTAAGGAAAGTTCTGGGATACATTCCCACATGTGTACAGAAACTTTCCTGTGGTGCACTCCTTGTCAAGTGCGCAACCGAGAACGAAGTGACCAAACTCCTGGATACCACGACCTTCGACGATATTCCATGTAAGTCCGAGCACTACCAGAAATTTAGCCGCTCGAAGGGCGTTGTCCGCAGCCATGAGCTGAAAGGCTGCTCCATGGAAGAGATTGTGGAGCACTGTGAGGGAGTGGTCGAAGCCCGCCTGATTACTCTTCGGCGGGGGGAGACTACTATTGAGACGAACACGATTGTCCTCACATTCGAATCTCCAGCCACCGTTCGGGCATCTTACTTGGTACTCGACGTACGACCCTATGTGCCGAACCCTCTGCGCTGTTTCAAGTGTCAGAAGTTCGGCCATAGCCAGTCACGGTGCCGTCACGCAGCCGTGTGTCCTCGTTGTGGCAAGACCGGGCATCCTGAGAAGGAATGCAAGGCTAGTCCTTGTTGCCCCATTGCCACGGCCAGCACACAGCTTTCAGCAAAGAGTGCCCGACTTGGCTCCAAGAACGCGCCATCCAAGAATACAGGGCGCGAAATGGCTGCTCCTTCCAGGAGGCCCGTAAGGTTGTCTGCCCGCCAATCACAACCCCAGTCATTGGCCGGTCGTATTCAAAGGCAGCCCAGGTGGTCACGAGGTCGGCAAGTAATTCTACTGCCGACCTCCCAAAGCCCACGGTCAACATGCAAGTCTCTGTGCCTAAGAACAAAAAGCCCGCTACTATCCCTGTGGCAACCCCCTTTGAGGTGCCACTCTCTAACCGCTATGTGGTTCTAGGGGAGGACGGGGAGGACTCTTCCTCCTCCCCCTCTCCCCCCCCCCTCACCCCTCTTCTATCCCTTTTTCTTCTTCTCCTTCTTCTTTCACCTCACAGCCCATACCTCTGATGGAGTGTGAGGTGGGCCCTCTCCCCCTCCCCCCAGCCCCCCCCCTTCCCAGCCCCCTCGGTCTTCTCCACCTCCCCCCACCCCTCCAGCAGACAAACCCCTGCCTATGGAGAACGACAGCTTCGACCCCCCTCCCCGGCCTGACCCATGGAAGGGCGGAGTCTGTCACTCCTCCAAATCCCCCACTAGATCGCCGTCCAATCCAGGACGGCAACCTAGAAAACACTCTGCCTCCCCCGCAAGGAGGAGTCAGGGTGTTTCTTCGAAGCCGGGGCCTTTGAGCTCAAAAATAAAAACTAAAAAATCATAATGGCGGTCCCGCAATGGAATGCCGGCGGAATCCGACCTTCCATTGCAGAATTGCAACATTTACAGGCCACACTGTGCCCACGGGTTTACTGCGTACCATCACATTCGCACGGAGAACCAGATTGCTTCCTGTGGTACCACACTACACCGACAACAACACACTCCACAGACAAGTACACATTAAGACGACCCTCCAGGCTATTGCCCTACGGGTCACCCTGCACAGACCAATCATGATCTGCTCAGTTTATATCCCACCAAATTACCCCCTCAAAATAACCCAACTAAATGACTTAAAGGCTCAGCTTACAAAACCCTTTATTTTGCTAGGTGATTTCAATGCCCACAGCCCCCTTTGGGGAGACAAACCTATAGACCAGAAAGGCAAAATAATAGAAAACTTTTTATTTCAAAATAACATCTGTCTCTTAAATGATAAATCCCCAACTTACAGAAACAGAGCCACTTATGGCACTTCATCCCTTGACCTCACCTTTTGTACCCCTGGCCTAGTCCCAGATCTTGAATGGTCTGTGCTGGATGACCGTACGGACCATTTCCCAATTCTCCTTAAAAACAATAGCCTCCAAAACGACCTGATCCCAGAACGCTTCAACTTAAAAATTGAAGACTGGGACGGGTTTGCCAATCAATGTTCCCAGATTCTTAAACCCAATTTCGACCTCAACTACAATAAATTCCCCGAAAAGCTTTTAGAAATATGCCACAAACACATACCAAAAACAAAAACAAAACCCCGGAGGAACAAGGTCTGGTTCTCTTGGGAATGTGAGGATGCAGTAAAGAAAAAGAAGGCAGCGTATCGAA